TTAAGTGCCGTGGAGTCAGTTCCGACTCATAGCGACCCTGCACAGGGTTTCCGAAGCTGTAAATCTTTACGGGAGCAGAACGCCTCATCTTTCTCCCACGGAACCGCTGGTAGTTTCGAACTGCTGACCTTGCGGTTCACAGCCCGATTCGTAACCATTACGCTACCAGAGCTCCATGCTTTCCTCTTTAAAGAACACTGTCACATGTTTCTCCCACAGAGCAACTGGTGGATTTGATTCATCAACTTTTCTATTAGCATCTGAGTGCTTAACTACTGCACCACCAATGTTCCTGTCATATTCCTTACTGCAATTATTAACAAATCAATTAGTACCTGATATTAATGCTGTTCTGTGGAAACTCACCACAGAAATCCACTGGGAGAGAAAGAGGATGTTTTTCTCTGTTCTCTAACCTGTGGGAACAGAGGGGTGTGCCCATGGTCACATGAGACCCTGGAATTAAATGAACATCATTTAACCTCCTGGATAAGAGGGCAGTTTGAAGCCACCCAATTGTTTGAAAGGATAAACTCTAGTCTCTTGCTATACTACTTTGTTATTGTTGTTAAGTGCCATTGTGTCAATTCTGACTTATAGCAACCCTATATAGGGTTTCCGCGGAGCAGCTGGTAGGTTTGCTCTGTTAACGTGTGGTTCGCAGTCCATTGCTGTTCCTACAGCGCCACACCAGGAGTCCTGGCAGTACTGTAGCAGTTAAATAAGAAATTAAGAGTTAAACGTCACAGATGCAGGACAATTCAAATCCATATATACATTCTGAGCAATACTTAGTGAAGTGTGTGCCATTTTATTGGGTTTTAGAAGTACTCCATGAATGTTGAATGGGTGTTTATATAAATGGATGGATGAATAGTTAGGATGGTGAATGAATGAATGAATGAGAAACTTGTATTCCACTTTCTCTATGCCATCAGAATTTATTTAATTCTGAAATACTCCTATGAGGTTTGTTGTTAAGTGCCATCAAGTTGTTCACATAGTGAACCTGTGTCTAGTTTATGAGGAGGGGCTGGTGGGTTTGAACTGCCAGCCTTGCAGTTAGCAGTCCAGTGCTTATCCTACAGTACAACAACAGGACTCGTATGAGGTACTATTAATATCCCCGCTTTAAAGTTGAAGCACAGAGTAGAAACTTGCCCAGAGTCACACCAACCAGAATTCAAACCTAAGGAGTCTGTTCAAGGGCCCTAATTTTAGGCTGCTCCAAATGCATGAATGCATGAGTGTACAAATGTTTGAGCTGAATTCCCAGGAAGCTGCTTTGTTTGTTATACCCACAGGGTGCAACTAGGATGTTTGAAAGGTGTGTACTCATAATGGATTTACCACTGAAACATGATGCCATCACTCCGTGTAGGGAACACTGGGGCCCAGAGAAGGCACAGCCTTGGCACCAGCCTCCACAGCAGCATGTGGTAGAACTATGGCCACACCTCCAGTCTCTCACTGTCCATTCCACAGACAGTCCTGCACAGAGCTGCTTCTCCATGTCCACTTCCAAATTCTTCCCATGGTTCCATTTACATTAGTGTTCCCCAACAGGTGGCAGCTCAGAAGCCCCTCCTTACCAGAGCTTCCAACAGGTTCATTCTGGTTCGACCCTTTGCTGAGAACTTGTTTTTCCACTCAGGATTACTGACTCAGAACCCACAGTTTAACAAGATCTCCAGGTGATTCTCAAACATGCATAAGAATCACCTGGGGATCTTGTTAAATATAGACTCTAATTCAGTATATCTGGGGTGGAAATGCAAATTCTCAGCAGAGGGTGGAATCCCAATGAATCAGTTCAAAGCCCTGCTCCTAACTGGTGACTGACAGATGCTAGTGCTCCAGACCCCCAGCTTTTGTCCTCTTCTGAAGCTGGAATTGGTTTCCCGAAGATCAGAGATCCTGCCACTTGATTGGGTTTGCCCTTTTCAGATTGGCCTATGTAAAAGGGCTATCTGTGCACAGCACGTCAGAATCCAGCCTGGCTCAAGTGCTCCAGGACCGGCTCCTTGCCTGTGATGCATGTACACATGTCCGCCAGCAGGAGGCGATAGAGCCTCACAGCTGTAACTGCCAGATCTGAAACCAGGCTGCTTAGATTTGAATCCAAACTCTTCTGCTGTGTGACCTCTGGCAAGTTACTTGCCTCTCTGTGTCCCAGTTTTCCCATCTGTAAAATAGGCACAATAAAACTTCCTCATAATGTGGTTGTGAGGATCAAATGAGATTGTACACATAAAGTGCTCAACAATATTGCCCATTGTGCGCACCCAGTGAGTGTTAGGCATTATTTGATCATCACAATCATCTTCCTGTTAGAACAAATACCAAAGGATTACCCCCATTGATCAGCTGTTCTAGAGCTTTGTTTTATTGAAAGAATGAAAGGACCATGAGCTGGGGTCTTAGGGATCTTTTAGTTATCCAAAGATACTTTATAATTAACTTTCGAATGAGATTTACTTCTAAAAGTATGAGGTGAGGCCTTAGCTAAAAGTGTTAGGAAATAGATTTCTGAAATGAGCTGTAAGTGAGGCAGTGACTTGCCGGAAGCAAAACCTATGGTTTGTTCACCTGAGGCTTTTACGAATCTCATTTTCCTTTGGAAGCTGGGGCTCTTGGTAGAGCCCAATCACTTTGGGTGACTCTGCCAAGAGATCTAGCTACCACAGACAGACTTCAGCTATAATACTGGAGGGGGGAATTACATTGTATTGCTTGGTACTTTAGAGATGATAATTTTTAATTGATTGATTACATTATTACTTACACTGGGAAAGAAATTATTACTTAAACCACAAAAGAAAGTCCTGGTGATCAACTTCCGAAAAATGAGTCACTGGAAACCAACCCCATGGAGCATGGTTCTGCTCTGACACGGGGTTGTCATGACTTGCATCCAGTTCCTTGGCATATCCTGAAGTAGCCTCAGGTTCATTTTGATGCTTCATAAACTCCAAGACATTTGAGTTCTGAGACATCTCAAGGAAAACATTTTGTGAGAATTTCAGGCAGAATATGTTGTCGTCTTTGTTGCTAGTGGTCTCTGTAACTTGTGCTGGCCCCTCCCTTGTTTTTCCAGCTGTGCCAGAGCTGAAGCTTCTCTGTGGGGCAGATGTTTTGAAGACCTTCCAGACCCCCGACCTCTGGAAAGAGTCACACATCCAGGAAATAGTGGAGAAGTTTGGCTTGGTGTGCGTGGGCAGAGCAGGGCATGACCCGAAGGAGTACATCTCGGAATCGCCCATCCTACGGAGGTACCAGCACAACATTCACTTGGCCAGGGAGCCTGTGCAGAACGAGCTCAGTGCCACATACATCAGGAGCGCCTTGGCCCAAGGGCTGAGTGTGAAGTACCTGCTTCCCGATGCTGTCATCGGCTATATCAAGGACCACAAGCTGTACACCAAGGATGGCCCCTGGGCAGCCAGAAGCACCCTGAGGAACGAAGAAGAGGCCAGCTAAGTGGCACTCCATTTGCCAGCGGCTCCTCCTCCTCCAAGCTCCTTCTGGGGAGAGGGCTGTGAAGGTTTTTGGTTTAGTTTTCCTTTGTTTTATTTCTGCAGTGATTTCCAAGAATGTTTTCTGCACCAGGAATGAGTCCTCCTTTTGGAAGCTCTCTGTCTACATCTCAAGGATAGCTGTTTATCAAAGAAGATGGTGGTGGCAGGTCAGTAGCATTAGGCAGTGTCTCAGAATCCCCTGATAATGAAGCTTTTTATTTCATGTAAATGGTTCATTGTGAGGAGCCACAGGGAGTGAACTCACTGCATGCTGTTCTAGGCATGACAGGGGCCCCAGGGGTCATATCAGAACTGCCTACAGTCTGTTCTTATATGTGCAGAGTGTTGGTCCGGAGTGGGAGATTTGAGAGCATGCTAATTTTACGCAACAATTGGACTTTCTCATTGCCCTTTCGCAAACAGCATACTACTAATTGAGAAGTTCACAATCTGGAAGCAGCACTTTGCTGATTTACATTAAATCTTCCCATAGTAATTGTTGTCTATCTGCCTACTGGCCTTTGATAAAACTTAAACTCAACCCTAAGGAGTGAGCCTCAAATAATATTTTTTATGTAACAGATGCATATTTTTAATACTAATGTTCTATAAACACCAGGGCTCCTGATTTCAGGCTTTCTAAAAGTTACTGAGCTAAAACAGATGCCTTGGCTATTTCAGAGGATCTTTTTAAATGTTTTATGACTGCCTGCCTGTTTGAATATTGGCAAAGAGATAAATAATAAATTGACATCAAAAAGTATTAATGAAAAGTTTCTTTTTTTCTTCCTTTGTAATATTATTAATGCCTGTTGTGCCAGCTGTTGCTTGTCTTTTTACTTACTCCATGAAATTTTCTACGAATCCAGTGGAACTGGCATGAACGTATAAGTTTATGTTCCCGGGGTACTAGCTGTGAAGGAAGCAATTGCTTCTCAGCAGGATGCAAACCATTTTCTAACTTCCAGCGCTAAGTGAAAGGCTCTGTTCTTGGGGGTGCTGGATGATGGGAGCCGAAGCCTCGGGCACATGGAGGACTTGGCACAGCCCTCTCATGTTAGGAAGCATTTAGGTTTACTCTTTACTTATTAACAAGATGGCTTAAGGACGTAATGTGTGGTCTGCATATCAGAACTAGTTAAGGAGCTTTCCTCCAATCCTGAGGCACCTTCTTCTTCATATAGTTGAGCTTCTCGGATCATTTGCTCAGTATACAGACTGAATAAGTATGGTCTAAAGCTGGGCACTATAAGGAGCTCTGGTAGCGTAGTGGTTATGAATTGGGCTGCTAACCTCAAGGTCGGCAGTTCGAAACTACCAGCCATCCGAGGGAGAAAGATAAGGCTTTCTACTCCCGTAAAGATTTATAGCCTCGGAAACCCTGTGTAGGGTCACTATGAGTCAGAACCGACTCCACAGTACTTAACAACAACAAAGCAGGGCACTGTAGAATCAGCACTGGACTGTGAACCACAAGGTTGGTGGTTCAAACCCCCAGCTGCTCTTCAGAAACCCTGTACAGGGTTGCTATGAGTCAGAATCAACTCGACAGCACTTAACAACAAGGACAAAAAGCAGGGGCGGGGAACATCTGACCCATGGTCTTATATGAAATCATTTGGTCTAGTCCTGCCAAGACAATCCCAGTCCTCGCCATCCAAATACAGTGGTGGTGGTGTTCCGTGGAATCAGTCCTGACTCATAGTGACGCTGCATAGGGTTTCCGAAGCTAGGGTTTCTGAAGCTGTAAATCTTTGTGGGAGCAGAAAGCCTCATTCATCTTTTTCCCGCAGAACAGCTGGTGGTTTCGAACTGCTGACCTTAAGGTTAGCAGCCTGACTCCTAAGCACTACGTTACCAGAGCTCGCTGGTAGTGTGCCATGGAGTCAATTCTAACTCATAGTGACCCTGCATAGGGTTTCCGAGGCTGTACATCTTTGTGGGAGCAGACAGCCGCATCTTTCTCCAGCAGAACTTCTGGTAGTTTCAAACTGCTGACCTTGAGGTTAACAGCCCAACTCTCCTAACCACTATGCTACCAGAGCTCCTTAGCCATCCAAATGTAACAGGCTAATTTTTAAAGTGATTATTTTGTAGGGCCCACAAATGATGTTATAAATATCCAAATAGCCCTTGGCAGAAAAAAAGTTCCAAACCCCTGGCCTAAAGACACAACTCTAAGAACAGCTTTCCTGATTTTAAACTAGGAAGTATCTTCTCCTTGATCTGTTCAAACAACTGCCTCTTGGTGTACATATACGTTCCTCCTGAGCACAATTAAGTGTTCTAGAATTCACATTCTTCGTAATGTTTTCTATTATTTTGTTATGATCCATGCAGTCAAATGTCTTTGCATAGTCAATAAAGCACAAGTAAACAACTTCCTGGTATTCTTTGCTTTTAGCCAAGATCCATCTGACGTCAGCAATGATATCCCTAGTTCGATGTAGTCTTCTGAATATAACTTGAATTTCTGGCAGCTCCCTGTCGATGCACTGCTTCAAATGTTTTTTGAATTCTCTTCAGCAAAATTTTACTTGCATGTGATATTAATGATAGTGTTAGATTATTTTCACATTCTGTTAGGTTACCTTTCTTTGGAATGAACACGAATAGGGATCTCTTTCACTTGGATGGTCAGGTAGCTAAGTATTTTCCAATAGATAGCTAGATATCTTCTTGTCATAGACTAGTGAATACTTCCAGTGCTACATCAGTGTGTTGAAATATTTCCGTTTGTTTTCCATCGATTCATGGAGCCTTGTTTGTCCCTAATGCCTTCAGTGCAGGTCGGACTTCTTCAGTATATAAGTTCTTGAACATATGCTACCTTTTGAAATGGTTCAAAATTGATCAATTCTTTTTGGTACAATGACTGTGTATTCCTTCCATCTTCTTTTGATGCTTCCTCCACCATTCAATGTTTTGTCCTTAGGATCCATCAGTATTGCAATGAAGCCTTGAAATTTATCTTCCGTTCCCTCAGCTTGAGAAATGCTGAGCATGTTCAGCATAAAAATCCTTCTGGTTTTCTAGCTCCAGGTCTTTGCACATTTCATTATATAATTTGTCTTCTCAATTTGCCCTTTGAAATTTTATGCTCAGCTCTTTTACTTCTTCAGTTCTTCCATTCTCTTGAGCAAGTTCAGAGTCTCTTCTGACATCTACTTTGGACTTTTCTTTCCTGTCTTTTTAATGACTTTTTGCTTCCTTCATGTATGATGTTCATGATGTCATGCTACAACTTCTCTGATCTTCAGTGATGCGCGTTCATTGTGTTGAATCTATTCTTGAAGTTGTCTCTGAATTCAGATGGGATGCATTTTGGCTGTCATGGACTTGTTTTAATTTTCTTCGGCTTCAACCTGAACTTGCATTATGTGCAATTAATGGTCTGTTTCACAGTCTGCCTGAGGCCTTGTTATGGCTAATGGTACTGAGTTTCTCCATCACTTCTTCCCACGGATACAGTCAGTCTGATTTTTGTGTAGCCCATATGTCTGTGTCGTTACTGTTGTGTGCCATCAAGTGATTTCTGACTCTTAGCAACCCTGTGTAGGGTTTTAGAGAGTGGCTGGTGGATTTGAACTGCCCACCTTGTGGTTACCAGTCCAGTGCTTATCCTTGAGCACCACACCATGTGTATAACCACTGCTTATCTTCTTGTAAAAGGGTATTTGCAATGAATCAGCCAGTGGTCATGCGACCACATGATAGGATTCCAACTCCTAGCAACCCAACAGGACAAAATAGGACCCCTCAGGATTTTCATCCAAGACTGTAAATCTTTACATGAGCAAACAGCCTCATTGTTCTCCCACAGAGGAGCTGGTGGATTTGACCTAGCCCACAGCACCACCAGGGTTCCTCCCTGCAGGTTTAATCAGGCAGGAAAAGTCTCCTTTCTCCCCCAAAATATCTCTGTGTTTGCACATGTGTCCCAAGGAGATGAGTAAAGTAGGAAATTGGGCTTTCCTGTATCCAGAGTGGTGAGACCATCCTGTGAGGTGTCCCTATACTACCCCCACTGTAAATGCTAAGGCCCCTCCCCACTCTGTCCTCAGTGAGTCCCTGAAGATGCGGAGTTGAAATCAAACAGCCTTGTCCAGCAGCGGCCACAGCGAGCAAGCTGGGTGACTGATTCACACCATTTCCAGCTGTGAGCCTCAGTGACCCTACTGAGTAAACCAGTTGTCTTGGAGTCAGTTCTAACTCATGACAACTCCATGTGTGTCAGAGTGGAATTGCATTCCATAGGATTTTCATGGCTGTGTCCTTTCAGAGACAGATCTCTGAGTGGATTCCAACCACTACTAACCTTTTGGGTAGTAGCCCAGCACTTAACAGTTTACACCACCCAGGGATGCTCCACACCAATGTGACATCCTCTAAATTCTCTTCTGTGGAGTCTTGTGTAGCTCTGTAGGATAAACACTGAACTTCTAACCTCAAGTGTGGTGGTTCAAACCCACCAGCCACTCTTCCTGTGAGGACCAGAGGTGCTCCCCGACACTGCTAGATGTTGCCAGTGGTGCCCAACACTGGTTGAGAGCCACTGGGTTAAGGGTCTGGCTGTGGGTGGGTGTGTGAGTCTAAGAGGGGTCCTTTCTGGAGGAGTGGTCTGGTTCCCAGTAGGGAAAAGCAGGAAACTGCAGCCTTTGGGAGTGCCGGAGGGCTCATCTCATATGAAGTCATGTTTATTCTGAGGGCCACAGTGCTGTGAGCAATCCAAGTTGAAGCCACATCCCTGACTCTCAGTAACACCTCCGTTGCAGTCTACCTGCATGTTCAAGTGGCCAGAGTGGCTTTCTCTCCCACGGACTTCTGGGCCGTCAGCACTGACATACCAAAATCCAAACCAACCCCATTGCCACTGAGTCATTTCTGACTTATAGCAACCGTATAGGAGAGAGCAAACCTGCTTCTTTGGATTTCTAGGATTTCATCTTTACAGCAGCAGAC